GGGTGAGGAGTGGGGTGCAGGGGGAGGGAAACACCTGCTGGGGCTCCTCTGCTGGGCTACACTGGATTTCTCCCAGTGCCATGTGGATTAGGAGGATGGAGGGGGACCCCTTCCCTGCAGGGCACAGGCAGGAGCAGGGCACCGGGTGTCAGGGGGGACAAGTTATTGTGGAGTTTCTTTTGATGATGGGTGGAGAATTAAATCCTGTTTTCTCTTATATAGGATTTAAAATCTGTCCCTCGGTTGTGTGGTTCTGTGCAGGCAGCACAGGGCACGGGTGGGAGCTCTGACCCACCCTGATCCCACAGCTCCAACCTCAGCACTGGCTGAGGGAATCGGCTGCAGGACCCCCAGCACCTTCCAGCTGCCTCACCCTCTGGACCCGCTCTGGGGACGGAGCCCCAGCCCCAGCACCATGGTGTGGGCAGCCCCAGCCCTGCCTGCCATCGCCCTCTGCCCCCGTGAGTGCCACCTTGTGCCCCTGAAGCTGCTTTGGGACCCCCATCCACCCCCAGCACCAGGGATGCCCCAGCCTGTGCTGCTCCTCATGCCCATCCTGCTCAGCTTTGGCACTCCCAGCCCCCTGCTCCCCTCAGTATCCACAGGAGATTTTCCCAAGGACAGATTTATCCCTTTTTGACTTCCAAACCCACCCTGAGGGACCCCGGGGTGCCTGGGCTGGGGGCTGCTCTCTGCAGAGAGGTTTTACTAAACATCATTAAATTATCAGAGGAAAGGCTCTTCCCAGACTTTAAACCTGGAGCAGCTGTGGAACAGCCCCTGACCACCTGTCCACCCATCCAGGGATGTTTCCTAACCTGCTCCTGCTTCCTTGCAGGTGTCTCCACAAAGCTGGTGAAAGCTGCAGTGGTGAGTCTCCCCCTGCTCCCGGCCTTTCCCAAACATCTCAGCTGGTGCTGGAGATGCTGGAGATGCTGGAGCTGCCGTGGTTCCCCCAGGCCTCACTGCAGGGAGGCACAGCCATGACCCCTTTGCTGTCCCCTGTGCAGCCCATGGCCTGTCCCTGTCCCATCCCATCCCATCCCTCACTCACCCACTGCCCAACAGCTTCCCTGCCCTGCTCCCCAACCAAGGGCTGGCACCTTGATGGGCTCCCAACCCCCCTGGCTCTGGGGAAGCAGGGACAGACCCACTGAAGGATCCTCACTCCTGACAGCGGCTGGGGTGGCTTTTGTCCCCACATATCACCAGGGCAGCCTTCAGCCAGGGCAGATCCCCTTCCCTGCACCTACAATCCCTTCTTCCCACTGTTTGCCCGGGCTGAGCATCCCCCATCCTGTTCCCAGGCTGCCCTGCTCGTTGGAGCTGTCCTGTGCACCGCTGAGCAGCACCCCGAGTAAGTACAGCCCTGGCCAGGGTTGGGGGGGTTTTGGGGGAGTTTTGGGGTGTTTTGGGGTGCTCTTGGGCAGCGGGGCCGCTGTGGGTGAATGTTCTATTTCTCCCCACATCCACTCCCTGGCTGCCGTGACGGGTCCCTCGGCTGGGGAGAATTTACAGCCTCGCTCAGCTGGTTCCATGCCTGTGCCCGGGCAGGGATTCCCATTGCTTTGGCTCCTGCTGGAGCACAAACACACCAAGGATTCCCTTTCCTTTACGGGGCTGAGGCAGATGCAGAGGGAGCCTCCCCCGAGCTGGAATCCAGGCTCTGCTGTTTGTCCCTCACCCAAATCCCGGGACATGGGGGGCACCTCTGCCACCCTCCAGCTGTGGGGATGGGCATTAAGGGACATCCTCATAATACCCCGTGTTATTCCCACTTACCCCACACAGCCACGCTCAGGGCAGCCTGCTGGGACATTCCCAGCAGGAGAAATCCCTGATCCTCCTCAGGGCCTTTGCAGCAGCAGCAGCAGCTTCATCTCATCCCAGGCCGAAGCGGAGCACGGACCGTGAGTGTTGGCCAGTCCAGAGCTCTTGGGGAGGGAAAAAAAACCCCTTATGCTGGTGGGCATCTGGGTGCTCCCAGGAGTGGGGAGGCACAGGACCAGGCAGAAAGCTGTGGGATTCCCATAAAGTGACTGGGGAGGTGGGGAAAGGACCTTACAGCACACTGCGGGGGTTGCTCTTACCTGGGAGCAGGAATATGGCAGCAGCAGCTGGAAGGAGTGGGACAGGGTGGGATATCCCCCAGGCAGGGTCAGCACCAGGTGGAGGACGCTGCAAGATCAGAAGATGCTTGTGTAGATGACCTGCAGAGTTTTTACTTGCCTGTGACAGGACAAAGTACAAAAACATCCCCAGTTACTCTACAGGAATAACTCTAAGGAATGAAAGCAAATGAGGCTTCATGGGCTGGGGACCCAGGGGATGGGAGGAGGATCCACAGTGGCTCGAGCCACATTATTGAGATTCCCTGCTGGTTCACCAGGGCTATTCCAAGAGCTGGGCCCCGTGGCAGGACCTGGGCCAGGTGGGAAGGGGACACACACCACCTGCCTGACACAGCTCCTCGCCCACAGGCTGCCCGTACGAGCCCATCACCACCACCACCATCACCACGGACCCCTTCTTGTTGCTGACTTACACCCCTGAGGAGTTCAACCTGTGCCTGAGCAGCGACACCTTGATGGAAAACCTGGAGGCTCTGCTGGACCTGCCGTTCCCCGTGGAGTTCCACAAAGTCATGAAAGAGAAGGTGGACCAGGTAAGGGGTGACACAGGGCAGGTGGTGACACAGGGAGGCCCCGGCAGCCCCTCAGCAGGATGGGCACAGGTTGGGATGGGCAGGACCCGCTGCGGGAACGGGCACCAGTGGATGCGGGGATGAAGGTACCCGAGCGAGTCCTCTGCACCCATTCCTGCCCTATTTCCCCTTCCCTCACCCTGCTTTCTGCCCCCTGGCCGGGCCCCACAGGCTTACCCGTCGGGGATCCCGGAGGAGCAGCTGAGGCGCCTGGGACAGTTGGCCCGGTGGTACTCGGAGGAGGAGATCAGCCGGTGGCCAGTGACCTCCAGTGACACACTGGAAGTCCTGCTCGACCCCTCGGGAGGGAAATGGAATGATTCCCAGGTAAATCCACTGCAGCAGCGGGTGATGGGTGCTGGGGCACCCCAACTGGGCCTGCCCGTGCCCCAGCCCGGCTTGGGGCGAAGGTGTTTGGCACCACCCCTTTAGCAGGAGCTTCTTCCTGCCCTCCCCGTGTCCCACCCTGTGCCCCGTGCCCCGCAGGTGCAGCAGCTGATCACCAGGTACCTGACCCTGGGGGGCACCTTGACGGGGCCCTTGCTCCGGAAAATCGGGGACAGACGCCTGTGCAACCTGCAGGAGGAGCAGATGGAGCAAATACCCGCCAAAGCAATGGGGTGAGGTGCTTCTGAGGGGCTCTGCCCAGTCCTGAGAGACCCCTGTGACTGTGGGGAAGTGGGTGGTGGGATGGAAGCCCCCCAGCTCTGTTGTGGGTCACGGTGGGATCCCTGTTCCCCCTCCCAGCTCCTGCCGGAGTGCCAGCACCGTGAGTGGGGACACCCCGCACGTCTCCCCCACCCAACAGAACACTTCAGCTGTGGGTCGGGGTGCTGTTCCTCTCTGAGCTGTGACCCTCCCCTTGCAGGACTGCTGGGCAGTTAGACATCTCTACATGCTCCCAAAGCAAGAAGGAGCTTCTCTACAGGAAAGCCCAGGAGGCCTTTGCCAGCCTGGCTGGCACCCCCAGCGTGTATTACTGCCGACTCCAGCCCTACCTGGGTACGTGCTTCCACCTTCCCCTTCCCTCCCACCACGAGGTTCGCTGTCTCTTCCTCATCCAGGGAGGTTTGGCCATGCTAGGACAGGCCTGGCAGCCTCCAAAACCTCCCCAGAGGTGCTGGGATGGTTTGTACATGTCCAGGTGCCCCACGTGCTCTCTTTAAGGTGGAGCTCCAGCAGAGGACCTGAAATACTTGGCCAGTGCTGGCGAGGCCATAAACATGGATATGGACACCTTCCTATCCCTAAATCCCAAGGAACTGCAGGTACAGCCCCTGTCCCTCTCCCCTCTGCAGGGCAGGGCTGGCCCAGGGCTGAGCAGGAGGTCTGAGTCCCATCAGATCACCAATTCTCTGCTTTTTCACCTTTGTCAATTTTCCTTTGGAAGTTTTTCCCTGCTGGAAAAGCATCCCGGGGTGATGCTGGCGGAGAGGGTGAGCAAAGGGCGTGTTGTGTGTGTGTGTGTTGCAGAAACTCAGTGTCACGGACGTGAAAAATTTGCTGGGGGAAAACCTCTGGGAGCTGAAGGAAGCTGAGAACGAGCCCTTGGTGATGGGCTGGGTGCAGAGACAGTCCCAGCGGGAACTGGACCGTGTCCTGGGAATCGGCCTGCAGGGGGGGATGGAGGAACCCACGGGGACAAGCACCCCTGCTCCCCCCACCACCACAGCCAGTGTCACCTCCACGGCCACCAGGCCCATGCCCACCACCCTCCCCACTGTCCCCACTCCTGCTGCCACTACCACCCCCCTGGCCACCCAGTCAAGCACAGTCCCCCACCAGACCCCCACCCCGAGTGCTCTCAGCCCAACCCCCCCAAACAACACTGCCCCCCCCACTGGGAGTCCCCCTGCCACCTCCACTGCCACCTCCACTG